CGTGTCTTGTGCAGACAATCGAACCAGGATGGCATCTCTTTTCATGCTAAGCGTGGAAAGTTCAAGCCCCGAAAAAGCTAGTGTCTTCCTTGTCCTTCGCAAAATTTAAGCTGGAAAGCAGATTTCTGTTTCCCACTGCCTCTGTAAATGTGTCCTCTTTCTCAAATTCGCGAAATGCTACCATTGCCAACATTATCTTAACACATGGAGAAATTACACGAACCTCAACATTAACGTGCAATATTTTTCTCGTCGAATTTCGTTTCATTTATCTCAGTTATGATTAACTCTATTCATCACGTCAACCATGAAAGGTGAAGTGAATTTTTGCATAATTTTTTGTTTTCCAATAGACCAAACCGATTTGTCATGCTCTTATTTATTTACTTCCACCGAAAGGCAGGTCATGTCATCTTTTCAACTTAAAAATCGCCCAACAGGGACGGAATAAAGCTAACTAAAAGCTGCGGAATCGATCACAGCACAACTTCCTCTGTACACCATTCCCTTTCAACTTCATTTCCCATCTCCATCTTCTTTCATGTCCCCGAACAATACCTATATTCTTCTTCTTCTTCTTCTTCTTCTTCTTCTTCCTTCCTCTTCAAAACAAAGCAACCAAGAAAACACCAGAGATGGGCTGCTTCAGGTGTGGAACCTCCAAAGCTTCCATGAGAACATCTTCATCGTCTGAACCTGCTCTTTCGTCAAACCGAGAGCACCCATATCCACAGCCACAAGCCAGAGCCCTGAGGCAAGAAGCCCTCCTCACAATCCCATCATGCACAGTCCACTTGATGGAAGAAGGGGAGGCCCTGGAGCTCCTTCCGAGCGGCGAGTTCACGCTCCTCCGGATCTCGGACGAGAACGTCCCGCTCGCCACGATAGTGAAAGTCGGGGATGATCTTCAGTGGCCTCTCACCAAGGACGAGCCCGTGGTGAAGCTGGACCCTCTGCACTACTTGTTCACTTTGCCTGTGAAAGATGGTGACCCTCTGAGCTACGGAGTGACTTTCGCGGAGACGTACGGTGGCGGTTTGAGCTCACTCGACGCGTTTCTTCAGGAGCATTCTTGCTTCTCTGCTTCCACGACTTCCTCGCGGAACAAGAACATTAATTGGAAGGAGTTCGCTCCTAAGGTTGGGGATTATAACAATGTGTTGGCCAGGGCAATTGCAGGAGGCACCGGTCAGATTGTTAAAGGGATATTCAAATGCAGTAATGCTTACACTAACCAGGTTGGACTTAACCCGCTCTTCTTTTAGATTGGTTGAAGCTAAATTCCTCTGCAATCACTGGGGATAGTTTAGTACTACTGATTTACATACTATGAGGATTTTGGTTTTGTCATAGTTTAAACCAATGATCAAGAACATATATGTTAGCTTCTGCAAAACTTTAGGTTCAGCAAGACTGGCATGAGCAGGACTTAAGTATCTAGCAGCACATACATTGTATTCTGCAAGGTTGAAACAAAAAATCATTGTCAGTTGTCACCTCAATGTATGGAAACAACACCATTTGGTCATGCATCAGGACTGCTATCAAATGAGGTTCTTGCCCTCGAACTTTGATTATGAGTTTGACCACTTCGTTCTCAACAACTTCGTTATAATTGGGTCAAATTCTTGTAATCTTTTGGCTATCTATCTTTGGTTAACACAGTGCTTTCTTTTGTTCCATTTGGCTTCGAATTATTACTTTCATTGCCAAAGCATGATTTGTTTTACTGCTATTTATGGTGATCTAAGAGATTATGGTGAAAAACCAGGTTCATCAGGGAGGCGAGATGATTATCACCCGTGCGGCGGAGAATAGTAACATCACTTATCCAGAGTACACTACCAACGGAAGTACGACCACCAAAAAGAAAAGCGCAATCAACAGAAACTTGAAACGGTATGTTTAACCCGAAAGCTATGATCATCAGTACATTCATTCATAAGAAGTCCATTTATATATAACGAGCAAAAGACATATTCCTTCCGTCATAGGCTTCTCATCTTTCTTTTCGCTCCCCACCCTTTTTTCCTTGGAAGCGTGAGAAAGGTGTCCAAGATGACGGAGAAGATGAGCAAAACAATGCTCGATGGGGTTCAATTTGCCAGTGGCTCAGTGATGGCGCCGGTAGTTAAGTCCCAAGCCGGGAAGGCATTTCTGGCAATGGTTCCAGGAGAAGTCCTATTAGCTTCACTCGATGCCGTCAGTGAGTATCATTTATCCACAGTACCGAGTAAAATGGAAGTGCATGTTCCAGCAAAAATCGATGGTGTGTCACTATGATAACTGATTACATTCTCCATTTTGTCGATCAATTACAGACAAAGTTCTAGATGCAGCCGAAGCTGCTGAAAAGCAAGCATTCTCTGCAACCTCCAAAGCAGCTACACGAATGGTCAGCCAGAGGTAAAAACATTTTCATGAAGCTTCAAATTGACTCTATCCTCAGCCCTTCGCCCATTCATCGTATTGCCTTTGATTGTTCAAATCCACATTGTCCCCGAAAGCTTAAATTTATAACAGATACGGGCCAGGGTTGTACCTGTTAGCAGATTTTCTTCAGATCCTTTGTTCTTTTGGCTTCTTTTTGGGTTTTACTTGGATTTTTTCCATTGAGCTTGTTAAGGTTCCTTAATGATCACGAGCTCAATTAAGCCAAATCGAAATATTTTTCTCACTTTTTAGGCCTATTGCGAGATGCCCAATTTGGCTCATAACCATAGCACAATGTTTTCTTGGAGATTGTCCGTCAAAAATATTCAGAATTTGAGAGACTGCCATTTCTTGATGACAACAGATTTGGAGAGAGCGCGGGAGAGGCGACAGAAGATGCGCTGGCGACTGCAGGCCACTGCGCTAGTACTGCTTGGAACATCTTCAAGATCAGAAAGACCATCAACCCGGCATCATCGGTCTCATCTGGAGTGCTGAGAAATGTCGCTAAGGTCAAGAGTGCCAAGTCTTCCAAGCTTTAAGAAGTGTAACTAGTCACTGAACAGATTGACTGGTCCCAGGCTTTGTTGAAAAAGTTGTATTAATGAACTAGTCATGATATTATATCCCCACGCTAACAATTCGTGCGCGGATGATTGTTGAGCCCGGCGAGGCTACCACTAGGGGCGATTGATTCCAAGGTGGATAGGTCCCAAATTTGAAACTTGGAACCTACCCTGTTATAACCGGTTTTCAGTTTTTGGAACTTGGAACCTACATTGTTTGCCTTGTAATCGATTCTGGAACCTATCCTGTTTTTCTGGTAGGGTCTATCCGAGAAGATGCTTTTTTTTTGTTCCTTTTTTTGTTTCATTTTTTAAAATAAAGTAATATGAGCAACAAAATAGTTCAAAGTAAAAGACAAACAACAAAAATCCCTTATCCGCCAAAAGTAACAATCCATAAAATAAACATGTAGTCACATACAATTATAAATGATAAAAGGTCCAAAAACCTCGAGAACGAGCAAGGGTTGCGAGGCTCGAACAAATGACGACGAGCTGCAACCGAGCAAGGAGGAGGAGGGTGAGTTGTGAGAGAGAAAGTCGTGAAGTGTTTGAGTGAGGTAGGAGTTTTGGAGAGAATTGAAAAAGAGAGATAGAGAAAAAGATGTCAAGAGAGAAATTAAATTTTTTAAGCTTTTCGAAACCAGTTCCAAAATCAGTCAAATCGGTCCGGTTCCTGGGTGGTTCTTCACTTGGAATCGCGAATCAAACTGGTCCCCACTAGTTCCAAAATTTTGAAACCAAGAATTGGATTGGTTCCGATGAGAACCTAGAACCGGACTAATTTTCAGGGCAGTCCGATCCGGTTGCACAACCCTACCTATCACGACCCAGTCCAAGAAGGGCTATAATCAGATTGGACTTATTTTGTGACGCTAGGCTGTGTTTGGCTGACGATATCGTATCTGTAGTTTGTTAACTGTTACACGATTGGACAAACGTAAATACAAAACATGTATCGGCCGGACTCGAAAGAAAATTTCCTGAGAAATCCTGTAGACTTTTGGCCTTCAAAAGTTATCTTCATCCTCAAAGTCCCACCTAAAAGTGTTTCCTTTCCTACGATCAAAAGATATAAACAACAATGCTGATTCCTATTCCATATGTCCTTACCTATAAGGCTACAACCAAAGGAATAAAAAAGCATTAACTTTGATTCCGGTTCTCATTCCATTTCCTTTAGCTCTGGCATTCCATTGAGAGCATTATTTATTCAGCTGTCAAGCCCATTTGCATTCCAGCTACTTCGGACTTCTTTCTACATATTAAATATCTCTTCAAATAAAAATAAAAAGACATAATATTTGATAATTAGAAAATTATGAAAAAATCATATGAGATCGCACCCGTCGATATTTTTTATATTAAAAAACGAATCAAATGTTTCGCGTTAAATAGAAGTTAAAGGGTGAGTTCCTAAATTTTGTGAAAATAAAAAAAAACACAATCGAAAAATCTCCTATACATTATAAGTTTTTCTCTATCATTTTCGCCTTCATCCTCCTCTCACAAGTTCTCACCCTCTCCTAAGCTCTCAAAAGTCCAACTTTCAAACAAATATACGATTCCCTCGCTATTTCGGTGGTGCAATGCACCTCAACCGCTATCCAACCCGCTTTCCAGTTGACGAGTCAATACCTTTAGACTAGTAGTGGCATTTCGATTCCTTCATTCTCGTATTTTATTAGTAAACGTATGTGCTTTATATATCGTGTATTCCCAATTTGTTTTTGATATTTGGAAATCTTATCGTGTGTTGATTTTGTGCGAGTCTCGTTGCAAAATTTTAATGAATTAGGTGTAAATCAGATTGGAATTCCCATTATTTTGCTTAATTGTTTGGATTTTAAAAGTTTGTTTTTTTGGATTTTAAAAGTTGAGAAAATAAAATAAAATAATAATTAAAAAAAAAAAAACGTGTCCGGGCCTGGCACGCACGTGGGCCGGCACGGCCTTCAGAAGGCGTAGGCAGCTCAGCCTGATAAGCAATCGCCGCCCTTCTCCCGTCCGAAAACCTGGCGCAATCCTACGCCGCCGCCGCCGCCGCCGCCGGAGATGGAGGACGACGGCGACACCGCGAGGCAGCTGAGGAAGCTGAGCATATACAGCGCGGCGAGGATCATCAAGCGGAGGGACAACAGCCTCTACAACGCCCTGAGGTCCATCTACGAGGACTCCATCTTCGTCGCCGAGATCGCCCAGCTCTGGCCGGCCCTCCCCCTGGTCGCCAACCTCCGGTGCGGCCTCTGGTACTCCGCCGCCTTTCACGCCGCCTGCTACTTCAAGTCCACCGACGGTCACACCAACAACCTGTCCTTCAACACTTCGCGGCTCAACCTCCACGTCGCCCTCCTCGCCGGTAATACTCTCTCTCTCTCTCGGAGAATTTGACCGTGGTTTTAATTATATTTGAGACGGTAGTTTTTACAGTTGTTGGTTGACTGAGATTGATCGAGCCCATCGCTTTTTGTTCTCTTGGGTTGATCAAGGGGCTCGAAAGTTCAAGTCTTGCCGAGTGAAAAGGAAGAAGTCATGTAGCTTGAGTATCAAGTTTGGTTTTACCATTCTTGTACTTGGGTGGCCCATGGGTTTTCTTTGATCTTCATCGTACGAGTTTTGTTTATGCTTCCTTGTTGGCGATACCGTTTTGATTCTGGTTTTCTGTCTGTCTGTTGTGTGATGGGTAGGACAGAAAGGAGGGTGTATCATCGTCGATTCAACTCGGAAAGGGAAGAGGTTTCCCGACAGCATGTCGAAGACGATACCCATTTGGACGTGCATCATGAATAGAGCTATCGTCAATTACAGGAGGAAAATGGGCAGTGATGGCCTAATTTCAAAAGGGGTAAGTGAGTATGAGTGCTAGTCTTGGTAGTTTTGAGCTTCAGATCAATCTGTAGCATTGTTTCTGCCTCTTGCTACAGATTTTTCCTATTGGTATTGTTTGTGTTCTGCCAGTGTATTTCATAACATGGTCAGTTGGAGGAAACTATGATTAGTTTATTATGGAACTTCTTCTCTGTTAGTGCTTACTCGGGCAACCTTAGGGTTCAGCAAGAACTGCAAAGTTTGTTTTCACTACTAGCTTTGTAGTGTATGCTTTCCCTTGTATTACTATCTTATAAAAATGTGCTTTTGCTTTAATCTATTGGAAATGCTGATGAGCATATTTCCTATAAGTAAACCATCTAAAATTTGCACCCATGCAGGGTGGAGATAAAACTAATCAACATGAAAGTAGTGAAGGACAGGCTCCACTGGATTGGGATTGTTCCTTGCATCTTCCATTGTGGGTTTCTGAGACAGAACGGGCAACTATAGAGAATCACTTGGAAAGTTGGACTCATCAGTTGGAAGCCAGTGGGGCTGATATTTGTTCAATTGCCTCATGCTTGAAGAAGCCCCTGCGTCCATTATGGATTTCACAGAGAACTGTCATTTGGTTGAATGAAGTGCCTGATCACGATTCTTGGGATTTTACACCAATCATACTTGTTTCTGCTTCTTGCTCAAGTGGAACTGTTCAACATAAGACTACTTCAGAGTTCAGCTGGAACTACATAGCAGGGGCTGGAGATGATGAGGAAAGCTGGGCAAGGGGTTTATCACCATCTCTTTTCTGGAAAAATGTATATGATATCATGGAAAGCGGTCCTGATTTATGCAATCGGAAGGTAGCTGATATAGTAGAGAAGCATAGAGTTTACCTAGCTCATAGGGGACATACTGTCCCTCAGGTCAAAGTCAAGGGTCCAAAATTGCCTGGGAGTGCATGCAATCTTTCTTGTGACGAATTACCCCTAGCTTCAGAGATGGCTAATGCTGAAGTTGATCCTAAGTCTTCCCATGAAAATTGCCCCATAACTTGGCTGGGTTTGACAAATCTTGCTGTGGGCTCAACACAATTCTGTATGTATTTTTGTGTTTCTCCATTAATCGATTAACTTTATTTGTTTGGTCAAGTGATAGACATGCAGCCCTCTCAGTAGTCTTCACATGCCAAAATTGAGTTGAGACTCTTCCTCTTTTTCCATGTCTTGGATCTAGAAATACTCACTTACTCCAAATTGGGCTATTAACTGTTTTGTCATTGCCCATTACACACAGGATTTCTGATTCTTTTTCCTTGATCCTGGAAGTGGGAATTTTGAAGTTTGAGGGTGGAGAGTTCTTCCAATTGTAGCACTATACTTTATCATTGCCTTGACACATAGGAACAGCATGGTGTCTTTTCATACCTCTCTTCAAGTAAAGTAGGTAACTGCCTTCAATTTTTAAAAAGTGAAAAGGGGTCATTCTCTATATAGATGGTCATAATAGTGCTTTTTCTATTAACATTACCGGCACCACTTTTTGTCCTGCTTTTTTCTTCTAGCTCACTGTTCTGCCTTGATTTTTCTTTTGGTGCAGCTGCAGAAGCATCTGGTGTTGATTGTGTGTTGAATTGTTCTCAGGAGTTTATTTCTGTCTCTTTACAAAGTACTGAGGCTTATCTCCATCTTCCAATGCTGGTGCGTACAAATGAAAGCTGAAGAACACTTATGAGGTGTAATTAATACGAAGATACATCTTGCTCATCTACTATAGCAATAGATTAAGAGAGATTTAACTTTTAGTGTCATGGATTTAGTAGTCGACCAGTCCACCAATGCTTCTCTAAAACCTTACTTTTGGTGTCCAGAACTCAAAACATGATCGGTTCTCTGTATTAAGCAATCTTCAGACTGCTGTAAACTTCGCAAGGTCGAATCTTAGCAAAGGGAAGACTCTTCTCATTTGTTGTCAGAATGGTAAGAATGTTTTTGAAGGATAAAGAACTACTTTCAATTTCTTATAGATATTAATTCATTCAATATCATATGTTGTATGCATGAAAGATCATTACTCGAATGTGTTTTTGAGGATTGACGTAGTCAGCATTCTTCAGTCGTTTTACTGATTGAGAGAGATCGCTTGTTTATTACTTCACAGGGGAGGACATCAGTATATGCACTTGTCTTGCAATTCTAATGTCATTATTTGATAACCAAGGTATATGTCCTTTTATTTTGGTCTGGACTCTAGATTTTTTTATTCCCCTTTTCTTTTATTTTCCTTATAATTTGGGCTGTTAATTAGGAACCTACGATGATGGAAAGTCCTTGAGCGAGACAACTGTTACTAAATGGGACATGCGGCGGCGACTCGTTTATATCTGCAAGTTTGCAACAAATGCACGACCTTCCAGAGGAAATCTAAAGCAGGTGTTCAATTTTCTTACTGGCGGAGGAAGAGCGAGTTCGGATTCTTAAGATTATGGACATTGCTGCTTCCGTGAATGCTAATCGGGTAGGGACAGATTCTGTCTTCCTTGATTTTATTCAACGAGGTTTCTACAAAGATCTGGGCAAATCTAGAGGTTAGATTCAACGCCTTGCAAGTCAGCTTCTACTGGTAGTTTGATAGATGATTAATTTAGATTAGCATTGATAATGAAGTTTTGTAAAGTTGTGTGGGAGACTACATTATATTGTTGAGTTGCTTTAAAAGGAGGATATCTGTTTGTCCAGCTTATATTGTACTCGTCATCAATTATCAGTATCATCGTAATCACTCACCATGTGGTTCCTTTTATATATGGGCAATTTGTGGGAAGCACAAATTATACCCCACAAATTATACAGGATGGTCCCCCAAACTCTGTTTCCCGATCTTCTTCTTAAGTGGTTTCAAGCGCATCGCTCTCGGTGCATCTAAGTCCTTGGATCAGTATGATTTAATAGGGCTTATCTTCGTATGTTTACCTTCATAAATCCAATGACTGAGATATAGGGGGAGTAGTACGGTCGGAGGATCTAAAAGTTCTTTGTTATTCACTTCAGATCACCCGAGTCCTTGACAAAAGATACAGACAGAATTTGAATGGGTTTGTATGAGCTATCTAATATATCTGGGCTTCACAATGGGTTGGTTCCACATGGAATGCGACTGCATGTCTTGAATGGCTGAAATGGCTTACAAGACCACCTTTAGCGACCACTGGGAGCCTGAACACACATTTGTGAGCATGCAAAAGCATTGTCGTGCACGTATTGGGATGCCATTCCACACCCTCGAAATCAGTCTGTCACCGTTCGATTAATGGGGTCTAGACGGATAAAATGAATTGGACATCGACCACGGCCCGGTAGTGCTGCGGGGTACCTAGAACCAGATCCGAGCAATTTTTTGACCTCATGTGTTGAACATTGATGCACCCTTCAGGTTAATTCCGGGCTGCTTCATTGAGGTAACGACCTAAATCTCAGTTCAAAGTCGAACGGCTCTTTAGCATACCTGACTTCTTAAATAAAGTCAAACGTATTTACATAGTTTCACATAAAACTACTTAGTTTTATGTTGAAGGCGCTTGTTTTACATCGAGATTGTTCGAATTTCATCACGGAGTTTGTGAATCGTGAAATAAAGGAAGCCTCTTAAGCAAGACTCGATGAATCGACTTATTTTGTCGAGGGCTAAAGTCATTGCCTTGCTTCAGTTTGTTAACCAAACTCGAGCCTTTTTGCATGAGATCTTTCGGATTTATTCCTTGAGATCATGACAACATCTTCATAGTTGGATGCATTTTTTTCAGATTCTGCGTGAAGATCACCAGGGATAGAATCAAGTCAAGTAAACGCAAAAGAGACCAATCAGGTGTAAAAGTTGAATGTTGGAAGATAAACTTTGCAATTTGCTTTATAGTAGAGAGATACTACAGGCGTGCCTCGAAACCCATTGCTCATACCCAGGACGCATGTTTCGAAAACGAAGGAGATAAGGGTCTTGAAAATGCATCTTTTATGTTCAGGTAACAATTTATCGACAATTGAGTGATGCCAGACTTGCTAAGATCGGTTTATCAAGTCGATTTTTAAAGTGATGTGTCAGACTGTTATTGATTCTTGAAGATGGCCCACTTATTCAAAAGGTGATTCACAGCCCGACACATCACTTCATAAACCGATTCTGCAAATCAATCTTCATAAGTCTAGCAATCCTCGAGTTCCGTGGTCTGGGTATGAATCACAAAGTAGATACTTTGGCAAATTGGCATCATGTCCTAGCAAATTAGCTTTATAGTGTGCTGTGCTTTTTTAATGGCCCCATAACATGCACGACCATACAAGATTTTCGGCTTTTTTCTCTGTCTGAAGCGACCCTTCACTTTCGTTAGCACATCGTTCGCGATAATTGCGAAACGGTCACAAGCAACTAAAAATAGTGGCTGGGGACAAAAGCAGCCATGGATTCATATCTGATCAAGTCCTAGTTTAGCTTGAACTAGAGTAGTGATCATGACCATCACCATCGAAGCAAATCTAGATCTTAGATTCGCACCAAGAGCAAAAAGACAGTTAAATTAAACAGTCTTAGTGAGCAGATGCATGCAGAGTTCTAAAAGACGAAGAAAAGCTTTGGCCCGTCCGATATGGTGACTACAATTGCGAGCTATGGTTTCAGCAATTCTTTAGATTTTACAATGAGGTTGAATTTTCTCATAATAGAAAGAAAAAAAAAAACTCCTCTATATGTGTGTGTGTTTTATAATAATGTGTCAATTTAAAGCAAGAATGGATCATAGGGTGAAGTATTTTGAACTCATTCATGACATTGGCTCATTGGTCACTCAAGGGATATATGTATTTTGAAAAAAAATTACATAATCCGTCATAAACCTATTGTACGAATACCGATTGAGTCCTAAACTTTTCAATTTTGCCAATTCAATCCTAAAATTTGTGTGAAATTCTAATGTACTTTTGCTTGAAATCGCTAACGTGGCAATGTGCCAGGTAGGATGGCTGTCAATATCTAAATTATCATGTCAGCAATTTTCGGCGAAAATTAACTGGAAGGACTACACTGGATTTTCACGCAAAATTTTGCTATTAAATTGATAAAATTGAAAAGTTTAGGATTGAATCGGCCATCGTACAATATATTTAAAAAAATTTCGACAATTTTTTCGTATTTTGAAAATCAACCATACAATGCAATTTCGACACCACCAAATACAAAGACGTCAATCTTTCGATAACCCACTCGAGTTTTGACTCGTGCGTTATCTTTTCTGCAAGGTCAATACATTATGAGCTCGAGATATGTTTCTCACTCAAAGCGGCTTTTTCTCATGAAAGAAATGATTCATACTTGATTAGATTCTAAAGAGAGATAGAGACACCCTAGTTCAAAAGCTCAATTGCATAGATCCTTGTCCCAAAGCCTTTGCTAACTTTAGGTTCCATTTAACGAGATAACACCATCATTTTGCAAACCACCCACTAATCTATAATTAACGAAACTGGCCCCCCTAAAAACTAAAGTAAACCTCATCATTATTGTGCTCTCACAAGCGCTGAAGATCGAGTTTCTTTAAAGTTTCCACAGTATAAAAACGTGATTTCACGTCTCCAAATCACCTAAAAAATATTCTTTTGTATCGTTTTATATATTCTAATCGAAACCCCACAATGTTTTTTATTTTCATTTTTCAAACTCTTTTTCAAAAATGTCCCCACATCCAATCACTTAATTACTCGAAGACCATACTTGGTTCTTCCAATCCCTCATCAAATGAATTTTCTCATCGTTGCTCATCATTGCCTTTCGTGCAACATTTGCTTTTATGAAACTTACACATCAGTTTGGTTTGATTTAGTCGATTTAACCGTAGCTTTTCATTGTGAATTGTACCTCTATAATATTCACAGTTGCGCACTTAAAATCCCACGTTATCATCCTGCGCATGTCATTTGTTTATGTTTCCATGTTCACCGAGGGGAACAGAAATTATTCCTTGATTCCAACAATTATGTATGCAACCACTAATAATTAAATGAAACCAACATATGCTTTGAATCTAACATGAATTCAACCAAGAAAAAAAATGTTGGTTCCATTCCCTATGCTCTATGGAGCAAGACAGAAATTTCTCAAAAAGATAAACGCTTTTGATTACGGGAAGCGATCGATGGGATTCTCTCGAAAAGCATCAGAACACGTGCGGAAGAGGGACGAGAGATGGCGAATGGCTAAGCGAGTTAGTCGGAGAATGCATGAAGAATGTCATAGCAAATGGAACTCCAAGCTAACTAGTTGTTACAACTTTAGGCAGAATGAAGTAAGCCAACTTGGCCTTTGATCCACCGACCATGCTTCCAAATTAATATCACCCAATTGTCCTAAATTAATACAAAAGCAACCCACAATCAAGAGGAAAGAAATTTGGAAATGGGATTTATGGAACCTTCGCAGTCGTTGAATCGGGCCTTTTTAACCAATCCCACTTCGTACCGAAGTTCCACTAGAGCAACACTTGCTATGGCCGATGGTCGGAGCTTTGTCCATTTATGCGACATTTTCTCGTGGCCCTTCCATTTTCTCCCTTTCTTTTTGTCCTTTTTTTTCTAAATCGTGGGTGAATTTCGATACTAGTACTAGGTTAGGTTTGTTGCCATCAATTGCTGAAATTTGGCACATGTTGCCTAAGAATACGAGAAGCCACCTTTTCACACCATTCAAACATATTCATATAAAACATATTAGTTATAAAACATATTCATATTCATTTACTCTGACCAAAAAAAAAAAAACATATTCATATATTTCGACCAAAAAAAATATATTCATATAATACGCCAACGTTAAAAATGTTAAACACGGCATGATGGGGTTTTTAGTTATATGGGTTAATCATGAAAAAATATTTTATGCATTCGAAATGCACAACGGATATGGCATAATAAACCACTGCGATGTTCGTAAAATAGGTGTCTTGACTGATTTTGCCTTCAAATCATCGTTTGCTTACTTCTCCATGTGTCCGTCTTGGCGCGATGAAATCATCAATGTGCCAAATTATTTTTCTTTTTTCTTTTTGAACACATGACTACTAAGTGCTTAGTAGATCAAGTAGAAACATTCCAAGCTGTCTCTGGCTCTGGCGCTCTTGCTAGGGCTTACCTTTGATTCTTGTGAGGTGATAATGTTTACCTATATGTCTAGGCTGCATCGAAGGCTGCATTATTCGGATCTTCCTGGCTTTGGGGCGTGAAAATCGGAGATCAAGCAATTACACGACATTAGAAAAACAAACAATGACGTGCCCTGATTGTTAAGTTCAACTTGCTGGTTGCATTTTATCAATATCTTGATCTTCTTTGCTCCAAAAAGAAAACGAAAACGAAAAGAAACAGCTAGTGCTCGCACTTTAAATCCTGAGATTGCCTAGCATCATGAAGGGGAAGAGTTCTCAAATCTTTTACATAAATAAAAGTTTTACACCTCGAGAATTCAAATGATTGCATGAACTCTAATCCTGTTAAATCAACTTCTTCTCGAAAAAAATCTTTTACATTTCAAGAGCATATAGCGTGCAAAGATTGATTATACAAACCTAGCGATTTATGACATGCGTGTAGGATAAGGACACCAAAAACATCATTATTTTTGTGCGGCTCTCGCTAGAGTGTTGTAACTTTTCAATCGATCACTTAACTGTAATAACTTGTAAAACATGTTCACCACAAGTGTCGAAAATTTGATGTAGCATGGCACTTGTTATGAACGTGTTTTTACAAGTTATGACACTCAGTTAATCGATCAAAAAATTATGGTATTTAAGGGAAAGTTTTTTGAAAGCCATAGTGCTCAACTAATCGATTGAAAAGTTACGGCACTCAAGTAAATATTGTACGAAAGTAATGGTATTTACTGCGTCTTTTTTTCATACGTGTGATGTGCAGCGGTTATCAATAGTAAAACATGCCCATTGCGAATGAATTCCTTTTTACTAAGCCCAATTCCAATGCAGTATTTTGAGCTACTCAAAGCAAAACACAGGTCTCTTATCTTATTCCAGCCGCCCATGAGGAGGAACTTTTGATAGATTTTGACGCTTCCAAAGGACCACAAAAAAAGTGATGGAAAAATAAGTATAAAGCATCATGTTAGCTATGGGCATTTAATTGTGCACTAAAGTAGAGTCTCATTATCATGTTCTCGAAGTTGAAGCCATCTTCCTTGTTCCTCCAACCAAATCTCTAAACGACGAGTTATGCCATACATAGACGTTGCTCGAGTTTTTTTCTTTTTTTTGGTTAGAACGTCGCTCCAGTTTATTTGCAATGTTTGCATGTGAGTAATTTCCATAATCAACCGTTCAAGAGACTGATCGAAGCCGGAAGTTTGCTCCAACTGGGGCTTTTCGTAGTTCTCTAATTTGTAATTTCCTTGTAACCCTCAACAAGCCCCTCCGATTTTAAAAAAAAAATCACGATTTTTCAGTACTCCGTGGTATGAAAAGATGCAAATAATTATTGATTTTTGGTTAGAGAGAGGTACAAACCATTTGGTGCTGCTAATATAATATAATAAAGGGCAACGACTATAGTCGTTTAGGAAATGCGGATGTACTATACCATCTGATGGCGCAATAGATAAGAGGATTGAGGAACAACGTGACCAAAATATTATTAATTAATTAATTGATTAATCAAGACCTTCATAATTGCCATAATCATTAGGGTTTCTTCCTGCAAATCCATGGGTGCCGAGTTGCTAGTCAAACTAAGCGTGTTGATCATCATCCGCACATTCTTCCAATTAATGGATGCATTGGATGTACTAAGTCATTCGTCACTTATGTGAAAAAAAAACATTAAAGTATAATCTCAGGGATCCTCTTGTCTTTGGAGATAAAAGATGGGAGTTGTTGGAAATGTTGTGGAATGATTGCCAATAATTACTCCCTTGTCGATGTCAACGCATCCATTGGCTATCCTCGATGTACAATTCAATCCCAAATTATTATTTCTTATTACCTGTTCAGTAGGTTTTGAATTCTGTTTCAAGTTTTCGGCCCAAATTGAATTTTGATATTCAGATAGAAATTTGTGGCGATCCGATTTAGAAAATACAAATAGAAGTTTTGTGTTGGTAGTGGAGGTCCATGCCCGTAGCCCAAAACTAATCCCCGGTGGGGATGCAGGGATACAACCCCTCAGTATGGAGCAGTATTAAAATTGTTTTTATCAAGTTATTTGATTGTAAGTTGAATTTCTTGCACATACGCAACACATGTACATTTGCTAATTTAACATTATATTCTCTTAGAACTTACTTTATGTGTATTGACAATTC